GTTATTTAGTATCATCACATAACATCATCATTTAATTATAATCTAATCCCCACCACTTATTGTTATCCACACTATAAATAGAGCAGAGTTAAGGAAATGAGACTTCCAGACCTAAATTCCAATTCCAATTGGAGTCACCCCTATCTTTTGCCCACTGTGATTTCTACTCTTCCTGCAAATTCAAGAGTGATAGTACAAAGCAATCAAGAGGTGACTAATTGGCAAATGATTCTGCTAAATGAGAGAAGACAAAACTGGACTCGCCCAGTTGAACAGAATTTGGATGCTTCTCGTCTGATCTTGTTCCTGCTTCTGCCTCTCCCCCCACCCCAGCCCTATCTCTACACCACCTCCCATTCGGCACGGGCAACCCCATCTGCTGACAGCCATCATGTTTGATCCCTAGCTGCCTTCCCCATCCCTCCCTGAGAAATAGGGAAAAAAGACACTGACATAAGGATCCTAAGTTAGAGAAACTATTTTTGTTCTTATTGGAATAAGAAGAGGGAGACAATGTGTAAAATATAATCAAAATTTAGGAGCAGGATCATCTAAGATCTCTGACTGTACCACAGGCTCCCTTACCAAAAACAGGCTATGAAAGATGGGCTCTTTCTTGCTAATTATGTTTCACATCCTAAAAGAACTAACCACATCCATGTGGAGTATTTGCTTCTTTGTGGGGTGTGTGGGGATGGGTGTGTGGGGGTATGGGTATGCCCACATGTGTGTGGTTTGTCAGGTCACATGTTGTAAAAGGATCAAGGAGATATTGAAAAGAAACTTTTCCAATATCTGTGCATCACTCTGGGCAGTTTAATTATCCACTTTTTGAAGAATGGGAGAGAGATTTACAGGAAAAGAACTGCTCCAATAATACATACATAATATATACATTATTATATATGTAGTATGTGTATAAATACATATATAATAAAAACATCTTCATTGAGTCTTTCTCTTTCTCAGGAATGTTTCACAATAAAGTATAATACCAGTCACTGATCTTTGAAAAGGTCCAACGTGGCCTTGGGACTAGTTTGACCAGGCCAGGCCATATGTTTGGGTTTTTTAAATATCTCTCTCCTAAAGAGTGAAATTCCACAACTCTGTGACCCCATGAAAGAACTAAAAATCGCTTGACAAAACAGGAATTGGCTGTGCTTTTCATGTGTAAACATTCCATATTCTTTATCTGCCTTCTGTAGAAATTACAACCCAAAGGTTGAACTTATATAATTTGGTTATAGATAATTTTGTGTACCGAACACTCAGAAGGAATATTATGTAATGATACTTTTCCTTCCATTTCAATCTAAAAATATATATTACTGAGTCCATTCTGCAACTGGAATCCAGCTACACGTAGACTTACTTAATTTGCCTCTGGTTTAAAACAAAAAAACTCTACCGGTTCCACAGCCCTAGAATTGCTTCATAAGAAAAATAGCTTTTAAAGGGTATATTCAGGGGCGCCTGGGTGGCTCAGTCGGTTAAAAGTCTGTCTTCAGCTCAGGTCATGGTCTCGGGGTCCTGGGATTAAGCACCACGTGGGGCTCCTTACTCAGCAGGGAGCCTGCTTCTCCTTCTCCCTCTGCCTGCCGCTCCCCCTGCTCGTGCTCTCTCTTTCTCGCTCGCTCTCTTTCTCTCAAATAAATAAATAAAATCTTAAAAAAATAAAAAATAAAGAGTATATTCAATTTTTCACCTTCCTGCTCCTTAACTAACACAACCCCAAGACTATATATAAACTGAAACCATGAAATAAAAACATTCTTCACAAAAATTAAAAAAAAAAAAATCTTTGTATCAAATCATCCTGGCTCTTAAAGCTTAAAGAAACCAGCTACCTGCCACCTATGTGTAACAAAAGATCCCAGGCAAAAAAAAAAAAAAAAAGTACTTTGTATATTCCTCAGCCCAGCAACCTTATATATATATATATATATATACACACATATATATATATACATGTTCTGCACTTCTTGCAATTTCAAATTTTCACTGCAATAAGAGGAAAAATGCCCAATGGAGGTTTTTGCCAGTATCTCAAAAGAAATTCTGCTCTACCCTTAGTATTCCAGAGTATCCATGCCCTGATAAGTATGGCCCACATGCGTTTCTCCTTAGGAACAGAATGTTTTGGGGCTGAGATTTCTCCAAAGGAATGAGGTGGTTTAGGGTAGAATGGACATGAATAAATATCCTTTCTTTGTTTGAGAACTGAAAATCAAGGCTTTACAAATGTCAGGAACAAGAAAACAAGGCTGGGCTATCCACAGGAATAGTGATTTAAAGGAGGGATGGGAGGGAATTTCCAAGTGCGGACCTCCCCTACTTATGCTATTAAATTTGATTTTCTCCTGTTAAAAAAATTAAATAAAATTTAAAAAATAAAGGAGGGATAGGAAAGAGTCAATGAACTAGAAACTTAGGAATCTGAACTTTCCAAATCACACCTATATACAGATGCTCAGCTTTTGGAAGCTAGTCCCAAACACTTATCCTGTTTCTTTTTTGCTGTTTGCCTTCTCCCCAATTGACAGCCTCCATCTTTATCTGGTCTTCTCTGTGTCCTGGTGGATTCCGGCCTCTGGTTTCTAAGTTTATATGGCTCCCCAGGCTGGAATTTAGTATCTATTCTGCACAGCAAGGAAGGAAAGAAAATCTCTGCCCTCAAGGTGCTTATATTCTAGTGGGAGGAAAAAGATAATAAACAAAATAAGTAATTAAAATATAGAATATTAATTGACCATATGACAACACTGGTATATTTGAACTTTTTGACCTGCAAAAATGGCGATTTCATATGAGTCAACCTCTATATTAAGTGGCGATGAATATTATTTTAAAAATGAAGTAGGGGAGAATAAGTAGTAGGGTTGATGAAGGATGAGGGCAGAGAGGGTTACAATTTAAAATAGAGCAATCCAGGGTCCCTGGGTGGCTCAGTAGGTTAAGAGTCTGACTCCTGATTTCAGCTCAGGTCATGATCTCAGGGTCATGATCTCAGGGTCCAGAGATCAAGCCCCACAGCTGCTCTGCACTCGGCGTGGAACCTGTTTAAGATTCTCTCTCCCCCCTCCCTCTGCCCCTCTCTGCCCTCCTGCTCATGAGTTCCCACTCTTTCTCTCTAAAAAACATAAAAATAAAAAAATAAAATAGGGCAATCCATTCCTATGGGGCACAATTATGTGAGACTGTTTTTGCTACTTTATCATTTTTCTAAGGAGCACGCATTCCTTTATAATGAGTTTTTTAAAACTTTATAATATCAAGCTTGCTGAAAAACCGCAATGAGTCACTTAAACATGTAAATTTTAGGGCACTTACATCAAGTAGGAATATAAGATACAAATCATATTAACACAGTCTTATGATCTATGAAATTACATTAAATACTGTGTGGTACAAAGCATCTAATTATATATGTTTTTAAGCCATTAATTTTAAAAACAAGCAACAAATTGTATTTTAATGAGCATGGTAGAAATACAGTTTACTTTTTCTTTTTTTAAAGATTTATCTATTTTAGAGAGAGGTAGAGAGTGTGTGCATGCACGCATGAGCCGGGGGAGGGGCAGAAGGAGAAGGGGAGAAAGAACTCCAAGCTTACTCCCCACCAAGCATGGAGGCCCATGTGGGGCTCAATCCCATGACTCCGAGATCATGACCAGAGCCGAAATCAAGAGTAGGCCCCCCCAAAGAATTTAGCCACCCAGGTGCCCCTATGTTACATTTTTTAAAATTTATGTTACATTTTTAAAATACACACGATCAAAGAACAAACAACTCCTATTAATGGATCACCCAAATGGTTTCCACCTAAAACAATGTGTTTCAGCATTTAAATGAACTACAAAAATGTGAGGAGAGGGGAGAAATACTTACAAAAGGTATCTATGAGACAGCTTAATTAAAAAATAAACTAGGAGTGCCTGGGTTGGCTCAGTCAGTTAAGCGACTGACTCTTGGTTTTGGCTCAGGTCATGATATCTAGGCTGTGAGATCGAATCCTGTGTGGGCTTTGTGCTCTATGCTCAGAGCATCTCCTGCTTGAGATTCTCTGCCTCTCCCACTCCGTCTGCCCCTCCCCCACTCTCTCTCTCAAATAAATACATAAAATGTAAAAAATAAAGAAAAAATGAAATAATACATGGCTTAAACATTAACATAACACAAATGGAATTATAACACTTTGTAAATAAATTCCATAAAAACTAGGATACTAGTAAGACTAATTATTAAATTAATCCATTGGACATGGCCTGGAATCTAAAAGGAAGATGTGAATTCTCCTTCCAAGTACTGACTGACCCAGCTCAATAATCTGTTCATATGTGCCCATTCCCCAAAAGAAGTCTAAACCAATACTGCTCAACAGAACCTTTTGCAGTGATGGAAATGTTCTGCCTTGTCCCATAAGGTAACCACTAGCCACACATGGCTAATGAACACTTAAAGGGTGGCTAACGAAACTGAAAAACAGAATTTCCAAAATTACATCATATTTACAGAATAATCACAGTACCCTAAATCTCAAAAAAAATGACTCCCAAATCAATGCATCTAATGCCATTTTTAGGGGTCACACATCATGCAGCCAATCCTCTGAATCATTGAGCAAAAAGGGTAACTCTTTTCTGCTGTTCTTAAGAAAGACATTTTAATACCCAAAATATTATATTCCCAATTTACTGCATTCATAGGAACTTAGGTCAGATATATTCTTATGCAAAATATTAGAGTAAGTCTTGCCCTCCACATTAGCTTCTTAAATCTGTTACAGCTGTTCAATTTCCCAAATGGATATCCATTTCCTGTTATTTGCCAGACTTTATAACTTACAATCAATAGATACAGAAGTTTTAAATGTAGTCATTTAACGGATAGGGGAAGATGACGTAAAATATAGTAAGAAAACAAAACCTTACAAAAGGTTATAAAAGTGGATTGAATGTGTATCTGACAAAATGAAGTACAGCTGAACCAAGACTTACTGGTTTAGCACGACATCAAGAATAAAGGATGTTCCAAAGGCATCAACCTGGAAGCTTGCCTGGTCAACATGAGTCAACTGCAATGTCAAAAAGATAAAAGGTACTTATTATTCAGCCATAGCAATCAGACAATAAGCATTTCTTATGATGATTCAGAAAGGTTTATGATATTATAAATTAGAAAACCGATTCAACCTGGTGATTAAATGAAAAAAAGTAAAATCCACACCTTCTTATATGCCAAGCATTCACCAATCTGAAGTAAAGCACCACCTCATCCCAGAGGTTAAGTACCCTACCTTTCTGGTTTATCTCAAATGGCTAAACAGTTCATTTCCAAGAAGACTACATTCATTTTACTCTATATTAAATGACTGGCTCCCTTTAAATTTAAACTTTGTACATTAAAAAGGAGGGAAAAATATATTCAAGAGTAAAATAATAACAAGGAAGATATCTAACTCTCCAAAAAAAATTTTTCATCCTACCTGAAATACATACTTTAATATTTCAGTTCTAATTTGCCAAACATAATTTTATAGAGGTTTCCACATCTTTCTAGAGCAAAACTGAATCTCTGCTATCTACTAAAAATATCGCCTATGAAAATTTGTTTGGAAAAAAAAAATCACTATTTCTTATGCTAGTCTAGGAACTCCCAGAGAAAAATCACAAGGGACTCTAAAAAAAAAAATAATGTTACCAATAACACTAATATTAACATATTGAATAATCATGTGCATTAACTGAAGAGAAGGGAACAAAACCATTTATTCTGCTTGATTCTCCAAATATTAACTGTAGCTACAGCTAAGCAGTAGGATTATGAATTAAGTTTTTTGTTTATGTTTCTCTGGTATGCAAAATTCCTAAAATAAACAGGTATAATTCCAACAGTGAGAATAAAAGAATCTATTTATCTATTATCTATTTTATAGATAAAAACCATCTGAGCAACCGTATTTAAGTAGTATGTGAGGTAGATGGTGTTACTGTTCCCAGAGAACCAGCACATCTTAAAAAAAGAAACATCCTAGGATTCTGAGGGCCATTAAGGGCACCTCAATCATCCCTGGGATTTTCACACATAGTAAGTTTATGGTATTAGGTGAAAGGAGAGAGAGAGAGCTTAATTAATAATAATAAAGCTTTCTGGAAAGAAAAAACAATTCTTATCTTTAAAGTATTTGAAAGAAGTATGGATAAGAGAATGTCATACCTCAGTTGCTAATACATTCCAACTGAGTCCCAAGAATGAAGAACTATTTGGATACCTCTCAGCCTCGTTATTTCAATAACCATTCAACTTTAACTCTTGGTTCTTCCCAGGTAACACCCAGGCTATCACCAAGCTCTGGCTTTTTTTCCTTTTTATAATTTTTGAAGCCACATCTTACTCTTTATTCCCGTATCTGCCACAGATCATATTCTCCCTGATCTAAAATTGACTCTTTACCAAAACCCAAATGTAAGCCCCAGATTTTCTACTGTACCAAATACAAACTTTCTCTCCCTGGATATCAAGATCCTCCACAGACACCTCTCCCCACCCCAGACAGAATGGCACACAAGTCCCCAAGGACCCACCTGTACCCTATCCATGGTCAGTTCTCCCTTCTCTTTAATTCATCAAGCTGGGTGCATTCCAACTTTTTTTGTGGCTTTCATTCATCACTTCTGTGGAGTGCCTTTCTGAACCAGATCCTTGGATAATGATCTTCACTAAGGCCACTTCCCAGAATTGGCCCCTATCCATCCTTCAAGATGTAGCTCAAGCTCCTCTTTGTATCAACCTCTTAGGGCTGTCCTAACAACGTACCACAGACTAGGAGGCTTCAACAACTGAAATTTACTTTCTCATAGTAAGGCTGGAAGCTGGAACTACAAGATCAAGGGACCTCTCTCCTTGGCTTTTCACTGTCCTCACGTGGCCTCTTCTCTACACCTGGCCCACCCTAATGACCTCATTTAACCTCAGTTATGGCTGTAAAGGCCTTATCTCCAGAGTCACAGCAGGGGTTAGCGCTTCAACACAGGAATTTTGGAGGAGACACAGTTCAGTCTAAACACTCCTCTTCCTTGAAGTCTTCCCAGTCTTTTCCAATCTCCTTCTCTCCTCCTCCTCAATACTGTTCACTATGATATGAGGGCCTCAGGACTGACCAGCATCAGGTACTCAGTAAGTATTTCCTGATTGACTCATTTGAGGGTTTATTTTATCAGTCACCTGGATACATAAACAAACAACAATGGAACAGCTATAAATTACCTGCTTACAGAAATGCACTCCTTCCGTCAAGGTTGTTCTTAATGCCATGTCAGTGGATAATGTCTTTACTTTCGTCTAAAAGCTTTCTGAGTTTCCAGAAGTGCTAACAACCATGTTTTGGAACAGCCTGAGGAAAGCGCTACTTCCCAGCACTGATGTCTCCATGAAAACCTCTCTTCTCTCCATTCTTTCTTGGTACTTAATGGGGGTGAACCAGGCAGAGGCCCCATGTTACTCATCATGGTATCCTGATTCAGTGTAGGGATCAAGATAACATTACCATTCTTTTTCAGCAAGATACTTACTGTTTATATTAATTTCATCTAATTCTTACGTTTTGTTTTTCCTGCAGCTTCAGTTTTAAAACATCTAATATCTTATTTTATTGATCTCGCATGTGTCCCAAAGAGAAACGCATTTACTTAAATTCAAATCTACTGACAGCAATGTTTAACTGCTGTTTAGTAAAAAACGTTTGCATTATTGATAGTAATAGGAACAACAGTATATTAATATTGTTTTAATCTAAAGCAAGCTTCCTTAGTCTGTATACAGAGTGATTCACTCAACAAATATCTTCTGAGAGTCTAGCAAGTGCTGGGAACTATTCTGATTTGGTGAAGAAAATAGACCATGTTTCTCTGTTAGTGGAGCTTATTTTCTAGGGGCAAGAGACAGAAAGTGACAAACAAAATGACAGACGATGAACAATAAAAAATAAACTGAGAAAATAAATACAGTATTCCTAGATTTAAAAAAACAAGGTAAACAGGAGACCAGGGTGGATGGGATTCTAGGTGGTCCTGGAAGGCTTTGGAAGGAACTGGCATCTAGGTGACACATGAATGACTAAAAGGAATCTGTAGTAGACAGAATAATGACCCTACGGATGCCCACACTCTAATCCCCGGGACCTATGAACATGTTACCTTACATAGCAAAAGGGAATTTGCATATGTGATGAATTTAAGGATCTTGAAATGGAGAGATTATCCTGGGTTATCCAGGGGGGCCCAATTTATAAGACCAGAGTCTTAGAAGGGTCAGAGAAGGAGATGTGATAATGGAAATAGAAATTAGAATAAGGTGAGGCAAAAGCCATATGCCAATGAATACTGGGAGCCTCTAGATACTGGAAAAGGCAAGGAACAACTCTCCCCTAGAGGAACACAGTATTGCCAACACCTGCATCTTAGCTTTGTAAAACCCATTCCAGGCTTCTAATCTCCAGAACTGTGAGAAAATTAATTTTTGTTGTTTTATAATTTAAGTTTGTGGTAATTATTACAGCAGCAATGGGAAACCAATACAGCATCACTGGCAATATTCCTCAACATTTAGAAAAGCAGCTCCCATAAAGAGCTGACTTCACCAGTGGTTCAATGTCATTCTCCTACATGGATTGGTTAAAACCAAGGCGCTCACAGCTGTAGCTCAGACATCCACGAAGGCACAAAGATCAAACTCCAAACACAAGGCTGCCCAGCCAAACCAAACTTGCAGTGGTGACCGCTAAAATAAATGTTAGCATGGCTTCCTTGCATTCTGTGTGGCCTTCTCTCTTTCCAGAATCTGCCTTCCCCATGTTTGACTTAAAAAGCAGGCCAAAGAGAACAAACATGTTTACGTCTTTAGGTTATCTTGGAGAAACAATTAAGTAGAATTTAACTGACTTCATGCTATATTAACAATCTAGCTTCTTAGCCAACACCATCAATGGGAGCCAGGATGGTTCTCAGAAAGTTAATCTTAGATCCTGCCTTTTTAGTTCAAAGGAAAAGGAAATGTTTGAGAAGAGAGAACTAGTATATCAGGATTTTCCTCTTTTGGGGGAGGAGGTATGCTAACATATATTGCCAAACAAAAATTCTAATACTTATTAACTTTCATTTGAATGTTAAAAGGTAGTAATGGCTCTCAGAGATATGTAAAAAGTGTAATTTTGCAGAAATGCATTCTTTCAAATTACTACATAAGAATGATTTGTGATTTTGGGGGCACCTGGGTGGCTCAGTCGGTTAAGCATCTGCCTTCAGCTCAGGTCATGATCCTGCAGTCTGGGAATCAAGCCCTGCATCGGGATCCCTGCTCAGCGAGGAGTCTGCTTCTCCCTCTGCCCCTTACCCAGCTTGTGTTCTCTCTCTCTCTCACTCTCTTTCTCTCAAATAGATAAAATCTTAAAAAAAAAAAAAATGACTTGCGATTTTGAAAACTATTAATCAAACACTTCAGTATCATACAATAATATGGAGAAAACTCTTAAAGCTCATATAATACATCTTTATTTTACAAATAAGGAAACAGGCCATTGTGGGCAAATGTCATTTGCAAAGTCACACTACTTGGTAGAAGAGGCTGTTCACACCACGCTTCATCCCAGCTTTCATTCTGCAGCTTGGAGGTGCTTGCAGGTTTTACTGAATTCTTAGGAGTAATATTATAATAGGAACATTTTTAGAGACATTAAAATGCTCTAAAGAGCATTTTTAAAGCATATGAAATGAAAATTAAATGATAAAAAACAATGTTTAGAACTCTGTTTTCACCAGAAAAGTCAATAGCGTTACCACATCTGACACAGAGCACATGTTCTGAGGCCAATTTGATTAAAACCTAAGAAATTAAGAATTAGTTTAAAAGTAGACATGGAAATCCATCTTTTAATGAAAAAAAGGTACACAGACATGGTAAAGTGTGTGAGTGTGTGCGTGTGTTTTAAGGACTGAGGCTGACATCGAAAGGAGCTGTGAAACAAAAGATTGAGGGGAAAAACATGGGAAGATATAAAATAACTATCCAGATGGCAAG